ATCAAAATGGGTCAAATTTTTTATGTTTAATCGAGTATGACTCAAGCTTTAATATAAATATTTATAAAGCTGAGACGGTCAGTGGTTGTTGAAATATGTACACTGTGTCAAAACTTTTTGAACTCCCCACGTATTTCAAACCATTCTAAACACTTGTTTTTACAGTAATCCAAAGTAAAAGTCAGTGAAACTGTTATACTGACTTCAATTATTGGTTAAACAGAGAACATAAACACAATTAATACAAATTACAAAACTATATATAAAATAAATTATATTAGTGCATGAATTACAGTTATACATTGGGGAGCTGAAAAGTTTTGTTGCTGATTTGTTATTTCGATAATTTTAAATACAATTATTCAAAAAACAATTTGATTTTCTCAAAATAATTTCCATTGACATTTTAATTTGTGCAATGTTTCAAACAGTACTGCCAACTTGAAGGATTTTCCTAGTAGCTTTTGAGTATTGGAATGGTGTCAACAACTGGCTAAACAGTCTTTGCCAATTTCAACACTTGGAACTTTTTTTTCCAGTTCTTTTATAGTTTGAACATTGAAGGAATAAGCAAAATGACAAGAAGAATGATCTAAACTATATGGAAAATTGGGAAAGAGTGCTACCTGTTACCTTTGAAGATATTTGTGCTAATTAATGTGGCGCAGCGGGCCATAGTAAAGCATGACATCAGAACAGACTTTTTCCAGAGTGTTTGAAAATAACCATTTCTGTGGTAATAAATAGTGTCAGCACTTGCAAAGTGCTGATGTCATTGCTAAGATGCCCAGGATGAGCATTTCTAATGAATGCATAAATTCAGCTTTAAATTGCACCAAGAGATTGTCGAGCCAATACACCTGGGAGAGCGGCGGTATATTGACCTTGAGATCTAGTCCTTTTCGAACGGAATCTTACACTATTCCTACTTCGAACTAAATCAAGTGACGTTTAAACTACGATTTATACTCACGATCTAGGTATCGGTCTTGTATACGTTTCTCCTAGATTATTATTTATCCTCGAGTAATACGTCGATTCCTATTAGCAGGATTGAAACTAATAGTCTACCGGTCGGGAAATATAAACTAAACTATGCACAAAGAAATAAATAATAATCGTGGCCGTGTAAGACGCTTAGATTATCTAGCAAGAGTAATCTAGCCAAGCGCAATCGGAGAAAACGGTTTATAGTATCTCAATAATCAAACGACTATATAACCGCGATTGTTTTCTTGAGGCCAGGTAATTATGTGAACGAATAAATAATTATGTTTAAACACGGGTTTTATTAGAATATGAAAAACTGTTCTAGAGCAAGGATTTAATTGAATATTGACTTTCACGTCTGAAGGTCAACTGAAGATGGAGTTTTAGCTATCGTCTACACTGCTCTTATATATCTTCTAGGGCAAGAAATTCGGCCCCATTAGGAAATCGTACAAACGTAGCACTTAATTTGGCTTTTCATAATAAGAGGTCTCTTATGTTTATGATACTACCCAATATTTTAATTGTTGGACAATAAAGAAGGCTTAACCACTAATCGATGAGATAAAGGAGATAGAGAACATATTCAATTTTGTTGTTGAGATTGCTCCCAAACTTAATTCAAAAGAACTCTTAATCAAAAAGGGAGTGGGAGATGAGATCGGATTATAATTACTATCTGTTGTAATCAGTGTTAGATTATGTTAGACTGAGATGTCACAGCCTTCGAGGGCATATGGGTATGGATCCAAAGTGACCTTTTCATCGTAAATGGCAGCTGAGATATTGAACAGTAATCCTGATACGACGACAAGAAAGCAGAGAAGCCTGATCGTTTTGACAGTGGTAATACGCGATATCACTCGCGCCGGTTGAATGGTCGCACAGTCATCCAGGACACGGGAATGCAGCAACTCGGTCGGAATGCCTTGATGATTCCAAAATAACTGGTCCTTGTTGTCGATTTTTTTTGCCATTTCAGCACCAGCCTCTCGTTTACATCACATAACCAGTATGTTCACTTTGGTTTTGTTTTGCAACATGCCCCATTTAAAAAAGCCACACACATTTTCCACACGCCACAAAAAGTTTTCATTAGCCACAACACGTGTATTCGATTGGTTACAAACGCTAAGTGAAAGGAAGAATGCCTGCAGCAATGCTCGGTCTTCTCAAAGCGCACAGAAGACTGTCGACATCCGCTTCACTAGTACAAGTAAGTCAGTTGGTTAATCGATAACACACTGCCAAATATCTTCTAAAAATTATAAATCAACCCAATCGACTAGGGATGGAAGCGACTGATAAGGTAATAACGCAACAGAGTAAATAATAACGACCAGGCAACCTATCAATGACCACTTCTTTGTCTTCAGATTCATCGGTGAAGACGGAAGCATCCATCAGGGAGAGCCAATTCTATCAGAAAACAACCTCAAATCAATTGATGGTCTCAAAGCCAAACTAATTGAAGGAAATATATTTGATAACACTGCTAAAGTAACCGATAACATAGTTCCTATCAGAAAGGTTGGACAAAAAAAACTATTTACAATGCCACGCTTTAATTATCATAATTGTCCCACAATTCACTTTTTTTTTGCTTGATAACAAAAGCTTTTATCCCCACTCTCTGCGTCTCAAGTTCCGTTGATCCGTTGCATCGGACTAAACTATAAAAAGCACGCGCTTGAAACTAATCAACCCACACCGAAATACCCGATACTCTTCATTAAACCAAGCACAGCAGTCCAGGATCCGTTTGAACCCGTTCGTCTTCCCAAAATCGCTGCCAACCACGTGGATTATGAGGCAGAATTGGCTGTGGTGATCAAAAAGGAATGCAAAAATGTGGATAAGGAAAAGGCTTTAGAATACGTTCTAGGATATACTGCAGGGAATGATGTTAGTGCTAGAGAATGGCAAAAGACGCTTGGTGGCGGGCAATGGTCTTTTTCAAAGGTACGCATGGAAGTGGGAAAACGCGACACAGATACTTGCGAGTTCGACGATTGAATCTGAATATAAGCTTCCGTGATGCTACTTTACATTTCTCTCTCCATCCCTCTGTTTTAGGGTTTTGACACATTTTCTCCGCTGGGTCCAATGCTAGTCTCAACGACGGCGATCACAAATCCAAACAATCTTCGTATTAGGATGATCGTAAATGATGTGAAAGTGCAGGATTCTAATACAAGCGATATGGTATTCGACGTAGCATCTCTCGTTAGTTTCCTCAGTCAGAGTACTACGTTGCTGCCTGGGACTGTTATTCTTACTGGTACTCCTGAAGGTATGTATTGATAAAGAGGTGGGAGCAGGATAAGGCTTGTTATTAACATATAATTAACGGTTTCCAGGAGTCGGGTTTGCAAAAAATCCACCGATATACCTCAAGGCTGGTGATAAGATGACGGTAGAGATTGAGAATATTGGACAATTGACGAATTATGTTGAGAACGAAAAGTGAGTAGAAACCGCAGAACATAGAAGGCGTATGATAGTTGCGTCGTTTGAACGGTTGTCCCCAGTGTCCTGCTATTTTCTTGTTCTCAATCGTATCTAAACTTTCGTGTTTTTTTTTACACAACCCTCTTCTTGTTACCTTTGATACCTTTGCGGTCAACCTACTTCCCTTCGTCCTGGTGTACATTACAAGATAATATTCTCTTTATTACGTATCAAGATTTCATATTACAAAAAAAAATTTATAAATAAGAAACGGCCGCAACTAATAACTCCTTTTCTCTCTGTTAAGTTCCTCGTGACTTTTCTCTATTTAACAATGAATATACAACTGCAAATACACCAAGCACATCAAACATCGACAATAGCACTAAACTTAGAGAACCTTTTGCGCGTGATTAAAAGGTGGCAGTCGCTAGATAAAATCTCTTCTAATGAGACTGGCTAATTAATAAGGACCTCATATTCGATTATAATCGAGAGGAAGGGAGGGGAGGGGAGGGATAATTAAAAATACAAATTAATACTAACTGTTAATCAAAAAAATTACTTAGGATCATCTAGTGTTTGAGCTTGGGTTACTGGTAGTTCTTCTTGTTGCTCTATAGCATCTTCTTTCGTTTTATCTTCAAGGACATATGGTTTCGCTGTTTCGTTCTCACACACGTATGGAATATTCTCTTCCGTTTCTTTCCAAAACTGTTCCAACTTCTCCGCATCCGAACAAAACTTTTGAAAATCTTTCAAGAGTTCATCAGGATTAGGTGTGGCTTGCTTGAGTCCAGTAGCACGGGTGGCGTATAGTCGGTTAACCACCCACAGATACCCGTTCCCTGGCTCGCATATCTGAATAAATACAGTTCCTGATCTGTGAATATATTGAGAATATTTGTACGGCGTTTTATGGTACGAATATTTTATCTTGACATTGTCAGGAAATAGACTGTCTGCCTCGACGTCAAGAACAAAGTGAAAACGTTTGACCAATTGTATTTGGTAATAGAGGTAAGGATTGACATCGGGATCAAGGTTCTTCATATCAAGCGGAGGAGGCTGAACGGCTAGTTGAATTACTGTCGGAGATTGGAACGGGTTATCGGTTAGAATCATGGCTTGTTCTACAGGAGCTTCCACTAGCTTTAGCCCGTATTTGTCTATATGCCTAGCACTCCACGTATTCAACATTGATTCAATCAACCGAGCCGTGCAACCCAACCAATTCAATTGGAAGTGATAACAAATGTCTGGATTGTTAATGACATCGTAATGAAGCGTAGCTGTCTCTTTTCTATTTGATTTCTTTTCCGGATCAATATCAATCTCTATACATCTGCTTAGAGCAATCTCTTGCGGAGCACCATCTGCTGGTTTGGCTGGCAGTGGATCTGGAGGAGGGTCCTGTTTATCTTTCTTATTAATAGTGAACCCCAAAAATCCTTTGAATTCTTTTTTTGGGGCATACGCCTCCTTCAATTGATAGAAAAAATACCCATCCATGAATCTATGTCTACGATTACAATGTTCGAGCAATCCCTGCGCCATTAATTTGTTCCCAAACTCTTCAGCCGCGTCACGGGTGTTAATATCCGCGAAGTTTGCGATCATCCAATCTATCGCTTCCTGGCCAATTATTGCATTCTCATAAAATTTTAGACGCCATCTCCTGCCTTTTGCTAGTGGCGGGTCAGAGTCTAGTATTGCTTGCGCTATTGTTGCTAGGGTGCTATCACTCGTAAGATTCCCCCCAGCGTTGTCGAGTGGCGTAATGGATGCATCTGGTCTGCGTACATATTCGGATGGAGTGAGAGTAGTAATTTCTGGTCTAGGAATGGCTTTTATTATTTTATTTGGCGGGTGGTTGGGTGGAAACCAGCGTGCTTTCTGAAGAATTCCCAGAAATTCCGTTATTCCCTTTATTCTTATGTCCTCGTCACTGAGATGATCCAGCTGTCCACCTGCTTTCGCAGCGCTCGATATAGTCTCTGTTGGTATTAAGAGAAACCTGGCACGCCAGAATTTCAAATCATCCGTTAAATTATCTTGATATCCAGCTACCAATTGATCCACGTAATTCCATTTGTAATTTGGATGCTGGGAATTAGAACCTGGATAGTTAAATTTCACTTCCCTCTTTTCATACGATGATCGACCCTTTGGCCATACATAGTAACTATATGAAAAGGGAGTTGGTAGGTATTCGTTCCTTTTCACATATATCTTCACTTCTACACTCATTTCATCTTTACGAGTCAACTTGTGTACGGAATGTCCCATAGCTAGAAAACAAGGAACATCAGTTTTTATAAGTGCGGAAGGGTAATAATTACCATTCTCCAACAAGGTGCTGGTGTTGTTGAATGTTTTGGATACTGGATTTTCAGTCACTGATGGTACCATGATCAATTGGTATCCTTGGGCCAATCGTTGTGATATCATCTCGTTTACCAACGCTTCTCCGTCCATAGTAGATACGTCTGGATCGATTGATATATCATACGTATACTCCACATAAAGTGCTGATTCGTTGATTGGTGGGAAGTCCTCCGTGGTCAATGGTAAACACGCTGGATTACACAAAGCAGTCCATTTAACTGTGTTTGAATGCGGTCGTGGAAATATGTGTTCCCATTTCCTCAATTCAAATCCGTATTCCGTTTTCCGATCATTTCTTTCAGGATTGGATGGGTTGACAAGTCCTTGTTTGTGCTGTTGCCTGGCTGCCAAAAGCTTTCCTAACGAATTCTTTATATGATATTTACCCGGTTCGTCCGAGTATGATGGATCATAATGAGCCCTGGGCGATGCGTGACTTAGACTACGGTTTCTGGTTCTCAATGCGTTGCCGATCGGCACCGGTTGAGTTTGACTTGATAGCGTCACATCCTCTTCAGGACATGATGCCATAAGCACATCATGGGATCCGGATCTAGCCATCGGCACCGAGTGATGAGTTTCAAAAAGCGCAGAAGAGCGGAGATCCGGTGAGGAACCAATGGTCTGACTATACATCCTGTAAGGAGACCTGGACAATCGATGATCGGACTGCAGTACAGACATTGCCGAGTTAGCAAACATCTTGGGAAGGCTGTTGGGCAGGTCAACGCGTGGATGACGGGAATGGTCATTATAGCTACGATTCGTCGGAATCGGCTCAATATTTTGACTAAGGCTTGCCGTTAATTCTTTAAACGGATGTAGCGCACTCCGTTCCTGAAACCCATTTGGCATTTTTTCTGATGCAAACACGCTCTCGTCATACAAATCATAAGCATCGGCTACACCGTTTTGTGTACCAGACGACTTTTTTAGAATATCGATTTTAGCATGCAATTCATCGTCCAAGTATGGAATGCCTACAGAACACACATCATACTTTGTAATTCCCATCATCTGTATTTCATACATCTTACATCGGCTTTCAAATTTTCCTGGCTTGTATGGTTTATCCTGATGTCTGGTATAAAAACTACAATCAATCCAATCCGGAGTTTTATAATATTCATGCTTAGCTTCGGACAAATTTTCGTCATAATCTAAAGGATCTCGAGCATCAATTCTTTCTTTCGTCAATTCCAACCATCTGGGTAAAGGTGCCTTTGACAATTCCTGCGATTTGAACTTAAAAAGAGGAACAGTATGTAGCGGTTCCTTGGATAGACACACCAAATCGAGACCTATTCCATTATAAACCATACGTTCGGCGGTAATTCTGAGTAGTCGTTTATTGACCTCAAAATGTCCAGTTCCCGGAGTGACTATTATTATGGCTAATCCAGTACGTAGCAGATCTCTATCAATATAATGTTTGTCGAATGGGTTCAACGCGAGATTAATTGCCTCTAATATGTTTCCTTCAAATGCACATGAATTCTGTCCACATAACCATGACACACCTCCCTTTTCGCATGATAGAAGATCCCGCTGATACCTAAGCAGTTCTCGCTTCAGCGAATCAATGGTAATCATCCAATCAAAGTGGGTTTCCCAATCAACGATCACTTTATAATGATCTTTATACCATCTTCCTTGATCATCTTTCGAAGCTACACCTTCACTGACTATGTCCTCGGTACCCTCGTAGAATACGCGAGAAAATAGCACGATAGAAACCAAGTGGTTCGTCGAAAACTCCTTCCATCGTTGGAATAACTCGGGTAAAAATCCATCAAAAGTCTTTTCAAAATATATTTCGCCGTCTTCATCGAACTCCCACATTTCTCTGCTCATCTGGACCAGGATAAAATATTTTGCAGATTCCGATCTGAATATTTGTTTGGTCTTTTCGGTAACCAATCCGCTTAATAACTATATCGGAAAAAGGAAAAAGGAAAAAAGTCAGAGAAAAAAAACACAAGAAAAACATATTAAGACAGCAATAATTACCGATTCGCCACCGCCGTATATATTTTTCACCCTTGCCTTGATACATTCATCAAGCATTTTCACCTCCTTTCCAACATGTACACACGAACCGATAAGACTCCGGCTCAAGCGCCACATATCACCACGTCCAATATATTGATCTTTAAACAGGAGCTCAATGTGTTCAGCCGCCGCGTAATTTACATCAACCTACATTTTGCCAATTAGATATTACAACGATTGTATAACCAGGCTAAAGCAAAGTGAATTATTTGCCAGAAACGAACCTTTCGAACTCTTACATCCGACCATGCTTTAAAACCAAACAGGGATGCGATGCTTTGGGTTACCGATACTTGATTATTGTTAAGTGTACTTTTATCAATTGGGACGAATCTTACAAACAAATGTTTGGTTCTGTCGAATGTTGCTTCCGGGGTATACACGGCCAACAGCCGCCCGATGTTATACTCATAATCTGGGTTTAATACCACGTCTTGATTAGAGTATTTCCTATCGTTCTTATCATGAATGCAGATTTTTAGTGTTCGCGCTGCTGAATCATTAATATCCATGGCGCATCGCCTGAGACGCAAAATTGACCTATTTAAATTAGTTAAAAGATCACCTGACAAATAAAAGTCACACACATAACCACATGATTAGATATTCATCGTACTTCTATGTCAAGTCCTGATTATCGGCGCATTGCACACCTTTATCCAACCTTTTCTGGTAGTGACAATCGAATCCGCTTTTTTGTTTGCTTTTTGTCTTACGGTTACGCGATTTTCCTGTTTATCAATTCGAAACTATGAGGTTCAATCAGATATGCATCGCATGTGATTTTGATCGCTAAGCCACTCTATGTAATATTAAAGTTGGAATTTGACAAGAGCACTGTGCCAATAAGACTCGAGCAATCATGGCAGCACGAAAGTTTAAAACCTTGTGTTATTTTCTTTCACCTCTGAATCATGGCTACTTCCAGTAAAGAGTGGTTGGCCAAAACCGTTAATGACGGGGCCATTAAATGCTATTCAGATGAAGACATCGTAAACCGAGTAGTTATTGGTCGTGGTGGATATGGATTAGTATACAAAGCGAAAGTGAAACACTCTGGTATATCCGTTGCAATGAAGACGCTTTTTGTAAGCAATTATGACCAAGAGGAAGAATTATACTCGGATTTCGTCAGAGAGGTTCGTTCCGAGCGTTTTTACTATTTCGTATACAAGTTTCAACAAGCTTAATTTAATATAACGTCAACTACACTCTATTAGCTGAGGAATCATAAACAGGTAGATGACCATCCAAACATTATTCGTTTCTTAGGACTATGCAAAGGTGTGTATTGCATATTTCGAACCTTTTAATTTCTAACCGGAATGCTTATGAATTTATTCTTCTCATGAAAATAATCAGACCCGTCTGGTGGTTTTCACATGGTTTTTGAATTTGCTAATGGCGGAACTCTGCGAGACCACTTGATAAAGAACTTTAAACGATTGACGTGGAGAAATAAATACAGGTTAGGTTTGGACATTACGAATGGATTGAAATATTTGCATAATCTTGAAATCATCCATAAAGACATGGTATGTCAACCCTTCTGTATGGTTCGGCCGTAGATCGAAACTCATTTTATTAATGCGAATTCGCTTTTGCTCTAGTCATCTAGCAATGTTCTCATTCAAGAAGGTGTCGCTAAAATAACAGATTTTGGTCTGTCTAGCGTGTTAAAACAGAGAGCCACTAAATCAAAGGGTGCGGGGTGTATGGTGTACCTTGATCCTTTGTCTTTCATGGACACTACATATAGACGAGGAAAGGAATCCGATGTCTTCAGTCTGGGAGTAATTTTGTGGGAAATTTCCAGTGCCATGAATCCTTGTGGGGGCTGTACGGAAGTTAGTGAAGTCATTTCATTTCGGATAAATGGGCTTAAAGATGATCCTTTTCCTGGAACGCATCAAGACTACATTGACCTATATTCGGAATGTTTGACAGAAGACTTCAAAAAACGGCCATCTTGTGAACAAATATATAAAAGACTGGAAATATTGTTTAATTCAGAAGATCCAGAAGGTCAAGAACAATATTCACCGAACGAACAAATTTCGATTAATCATGAAGTATCGCAAGGAAGTGTGACGAGGGCTGAAGTTCCACACAAATATGAGGCACCTCTTATGAATTCTAGAGCGAAGTATGAAATACCAAGAGCCTGGCTAGAAGAATCAGAATTGGACAGGTCGAAGACTCGTAAACACATGGCGAATATGGACGATCAAGATCAACAATTGTTAGAGAAGCGGTATGAAGAAGCATTAAATCACTTGAATGAATCGTTAACAGCTGACCCAGATAATGCAAGTTTACTGAAAGATAGAGGAGCCGTCTATCGCATACTCAAGCAATATAATAATGCATTGAATGACCTTAATAAATCTTTGGAATTGGAACCAGATGACGCATTTGCGTTGAAACAAAGAGGAACTGTATACAGTGCTCTCAAGAAAACTGAAGATGCATTAAAGGATCTCAATAGGTCAATAGAGTTGGAACCAGAGGATGCGTTTGCTTTGAGATCAAGAGGAGTTGTCTACCATGCGTTGGCCGATTATGATCGTGCGAAGGATGATCTCACCAAATCGTTTAATATTGATCCAACCAACACATACACGTTGTTGTACAGAGGGCAGGTTCTGCGCCGGCTGAATAGGAAGCCCAAGCCACGTAAATGAAATAGTATATTGTAAAGTGTAGCAACATGTTTACTACTATTATTGTAAAAAAAAAGGTTGTAATGGGATTATATTAATGTATAGTTTATGATTTTTACATTGTCAACGATTGTTTTTAATAAATCATAAGAGTATGTTGACATCAACCCGAATCGAAGTAAAGGTTTCTAGGGTGCTATTAATAGTTTTAGCGCACTCAGTTGTATCATTGATATTTGTTCGGAAGAAACAATTGCCGTAAAGAGACCCCACAATCATCATTCACAATGATCTACGCATCGATCATCCTTGCTATCTCTGTTTTATTATATAATCACATTGATAGAAGCCACATCATAGCCTTTTTCATATGAGAAGATTATTAACAATCTGCTTCGAATCTCCTCATAACTCTCTCCTGTTGGCCGCCCTATATTGTCACCATAAAGTACATAAAGTGAATCTTCCTACCTATGCCATCTATCACTAACTCGATTAACTATCTCTTCACTTAACGTCCTATGATCCTTTTGTCATATGAATATTCATTCATTTCCCACTCACCTTTCTCTGTTCACACGCTGCTAGTCTATGAAATGAGCTTCTTTATCATACTATCGGATATGGTCATAAAATAAATTCCCTCAAAGCTTGGGACTCACTGAAACTCGCACATTTGACATTTTCGGAAGTTTCATATCTTTTGTGCAGGGTGGGCTTCTTCTTTCACATTGTAGAAAGTTTATTGATCGAATTCATATCATGTGATCGATGAGTGTGAGAAAGTGATTAACCTTATATGCTTAATCTTATATGTTTAAACTATTTATATAAATATTACAGCCGTATGCGATATGCAGGCGTCGTCTACTTCATTGCTAGTTAAACAACTATGTCATCATTACATATTCGCAGATGTGTATAAATACGAGAAGTAACCGATTCTCATTCACGGTAACTGCCAAGATGACCCACCAAACAAAAGATTCTCTGAAAAACGTAAACCTTGACAAGGATACTCCAACATACAAGAAACTCGATGATTTGTATGCACTCATTGACGGTATCGAAACGTGCATGTTTACTACACGCCGAAGCGGTAATTCTCTCTATATTGTGCTATTTTTGCGCTTTTATACCACTCTCATCACTAACGTTTAATTCTTAAAGATGGCTCCCTAGTCTCGAGAGCAATGCAAACACGAAGCCGCATCCCAGGAGCAGCAATTTATTTTGTAACTAATAACCAAACCGATAAGCTGGAAGACATGAAATTTGATCCACACGTCAATTGTGCATATATCCGCGGAAGTACTGAAGAATGGGTTAGTGTGGCTGGAACTGCGCGTATAGTCGAGGATAGAGATATGATCAAACAGTTATGGACATCAGATTGTAAGAAATGGTTCGGTGATCTCGGAGATAACGTTCATGATGGAAGCGCTTCAGATCCGAGAGTTTGCTTGGTGAGTATCAATCGTATTACAACCAGTTGTAAAAAGTCGGTTAACTAAACTTTTTTTATTGATGTTGCAGGTTCTCGTGGAACCGGACACTGTTCATTATACATTAAAGAAAAATAACGCGGTCGTCGAATTGTTTAAGATTGCGAAAGAAAAGATTACAGGTTAGTTCATGAAGAGTCGTACTGTTAATTGTCTAGTGAGTTCCTGCAAACTGAAAGTCGTTACTTATGTAGGAGAACCTGCTAATACTCAAACCGAACGGGCGATTGATAACGACGAACTTCGAACTGCGAGAGGTCGAATTTAAATTTTTTAAGGAAAAAGATTTGCTACAAGTTGATCTTTTTATTAGTATTAGTATTAGTGTAAATTAACAATGCTCGGATGTCGATCGTGCACGTGCGAAGTAATAAATTAATATGATATGCCCGCATGTAAAACTGTAACACAAATAATTTTCGAACGAGAATGTTACTTTACGAGTGCATTTACATTCGGTCATTGACTGTTTTGATACAGTGTCTTATCAGTGGAACAATATGCCAAGTCGTAAATGAAATTTTCTCGAGTCTGTTGGCTGACTACTAATTCGATAGCTCGGATGACACAGAATTTTTTGTGTAGGGTCAACAGTAACATGTTACCCAATAAAATCACATATCGCCCGATGAATTAGTGAAAATCAATTAGACTTGCCACTTGCTTTATATCAGATTCCATTTGAGCGCATTCCAATTCCACCCCGCCTGACTATTGATAGAATCGTGCAGACTGAGGATACCCAGTTTTTGCCTTCAAAATGCGGTCAGCACATACCGACAGCGCATATAAGGATTGGTTAGACAAAACCGTTGAAGATGGAGCAATCAAATCTTATTCGGATGATGACATTACAGAACGCGTCCTTGTTAAAAGGAATGAATATGTCATGGAACATAAAGCAGTGGTGAAGAATTCTGGGTTGCCCGTCATGATGAGAACTTTATCATTCCATAATAGAAAGGAAGACGGATACAAGGACCTTGTCAGAGAGGTATGCTTTTAATTGAAATTGAACATTTATTACCCGAACTAGCGGTCGTTGAATATACTAAACCAACATCCCATTCATCAGATGAGGAACCATAAGAGAGCTGACGATCATCCAAATGTTCTTCGGTTCTTGGGTTTATGTAAAAGTACGCCGGTAATATTCTTAAGCATTCGATTTCGATAAGAAAGCGAGCTGATTCAGTTTTTGATTATAACAGATCTATTCGGTGCCTATCACATGATTTTCGAATACGCCAATGACGGAGATTTGCGTACCTACCTGACGGAACGTTTCGCGAAACTTACGTTGAAAAACAAATACGAGTTGGGATTGGGAATTGCTCATGGACTGAAACACATACACGCGCTCGATATTATTCATAGAAATTTGGTAATGTAAACTTTCCTTAATACGATAACATTGGACTATATGTTCTGTCGCACGTTTTTGTCGCATCTAACACAGTATTCTTATTTTGGTTTATCAAGTCTTCCACTAGCGTTCTCATTCATTCTGGTGTTGCAAAAATAGGAGATTTCGGTTCTTCTTGTATTGTATCACAAATAACGGTCCCGTCAAATAGTGAAAGTAATTCTGCATACGTTGACCCTGTGTCTTTCAAAGATTACTCCTATAAACTTCGGAAGGAATCCGACGTTTTCAGTCTTGGAGTAATACTTTGGGAAATATCTAGTGGGAAGATACCATGTGAACAACTTACTGCAGATAGTGACATAATAATATACAGATTAAATGGATTTTATGATAAGCCTTTTCCTGGGACACCTACAGCTTATGTTGAACTATATTCAAAGTGTTGGGATGAAGATCCCGAGAAACGACCAGCTTCTGAAGACGTATACCTGAATTTGGAATCATTGTTGCAACGAGCAGAGGAGCGGACTGATCAGGATCACTCATTATCGAACGAACAACTAGTCAATGATAGTAACGCAACGCAAGAAGTTGGGTTACAGGTTAAACAATCAAACGCGGAAAATATTCAACATTCACTCCCCATGGCTTTGAATTCCAATTCAACCACATACACGATACCAGATATTTGGTTAACGGAACCAGAACTGTCCAAGTTCATGGTAGACAGCCCCTCTGTGTCTTAACGCAAATCCGTTCTTTGGTTCCTTCTTTATTGAGTTTGTAAGATCTTCTAATGCTTTATCATACTCTCCAATAAGATAATAGACAGCTCCTCTTTGCTTAAGTGCAAAACCGTTTCCCTTGTGCAGTTTCAGTGACTCGTTAAGATCTTCCAATGCTTCATCGTATCTTCCCAAGACGCGATAAACTGCCCCTCTGTTTTTCAACGCAAATGAGTCGTCTGGATCAATAGCTAGCGAAGCATCAAGATCCTTTAACGCCTCCTCGGGCTGTTCAAGTATACGGTAAATGGCGCCGCGGTGTTTCAAGGCAACTTCATCATTCGGTTCCATGTCTAATGTCTTATTGAGATCTTCTAATGCCTTTTTATACTGACAAAGTATACGATAGCATGATCCTCTTTCTTTCAATGCAAATAAATCATTCGGTTCAATCTCCAACGATTTTGTGAGATCGACAAGTGCGTCTTCGTAATTTGCTCGATTAATGTTGAAGTACTTTTTAGCTGCTCCTCTGTATTTTAACATAAATGCGTCATTTGGCTCAATCTCTGCAGCTTTATTGAGATCTATAACTGCAAGTTTATACTCCCTTTGCAGGTAATAAGTTGCCCCCCTGTATTTCAACGCAAATGCATCGTTCGGTTCGCTCTCCAATACTTTATTGAGATCGTTCATCGCATCTTCAAGTTGATAAAGTGCATGATTGATAGCTCCTCGCTGTTTTAATGCAAATATATTATCTGGGTCTAT